TTTGCTGTAATAATAGGTACCTGATGGTTGTAATGAATTTTTAGCTAGAGCCCTGCGCACAAAATAAACTATACTAGAATAGATATCGCAATAATTGTTTTATACTTGATGTAGAACAAAATAAATTATACATACTTAAAGTTTGTATTGGTAAAAAAGGCTTGTAATAGGTACCTATAAACTGAAAGTTACAGTGCGTATACGTGAAACAATATTGTTGGTATAATGACATGTACAGTCCATCTAATGTTTTTATCAAATGTCAAAGTTAGGTATCAAATGTAAATTGTAGTATTCTTAGATACCTACTTTATAAACATTTTGACACACTACATTACATTATCACAAGTGTACAAAAGTTTCTATTTCCACAACGATGTAGGTACTTTTTATAAATGATCAAAATTATTTTCATCTATAAGAATTCAGAGCTTTAAAATATTTATTTTTAAATAATTTATTATGTTTTCTGTGATTTAGGTAGTCGATTATTTTTTTTTTTTTTTTATTTTTTTTTTTGTTTAATAATATGAAAATAATAAAATTATTAATCAAGAGGATGTCAAATTTTCGTTAAATACAACAAATCATGTGTTGTTTGCTTTAAATGCTTTAATATTAAAATTAACACAGAATAATCCATTATCGGTATTATTCAAGGTTATTGATAATGTAAATGTTTAATTCGTTTAAGACAAGGATAGCCGCGTAGGTTTATTTAATGTACCTAGACAATGTAGGTACACAATTATAAACAGTTTTTAAGATGTATGGTTTTAAATTTTACCACAAAGTTAGGTCCCATTGACAAACGTTGACAGTTTTCAATTTCTTTCATACAAAGTTCAGTTGTCATGTGATCGTCTGTGGCCTCATCACGAACACCCCATCTCATATCAACCACCTAAAATTAAAAATTATAAATGTATCTTACTTATTTTTACCAACCGTACCTGGTACCTAACTATACACCAAGGTCAAATTTATTATATTGATTTATGAAACTTTGATATTGTGGCTAAATACTTATAAACATGCATACTATTTACAATAACTAAGATATATTTATATGCATATGCATAATGCATATACAGCACACATCAAATATACCATAAAGACATATAATAGCCTACAGATATGCGGGCATGAAACAAAATCTGATTTAAATTTTAAAATCAATTATGATTGAATGTCCCACATTATAATAAAATACGGATTAAAAGTCAAAGAATAAAAATTAAAAAAACATTTAAAATAAATAAAAAAGATGAGATAACAAAACAGTTAATATTATTCCAATAATAGGTGAACTATTAAAAACAAATTCTACGAATTAATGTGGTACCTTGGAGTATGAGTTCCTATTAATGATAAACAAGCAATATATATAATAACATGTACAATGGTACCTACTTTTAAAAAATGTGGGCTATTCTATTTTAGCTCATTTACATGTAATCAAAAATAATTTTAAATTGTAAAATATCAAAACACAAATTATAAAAATAGATTAATTTATTGTTATTAATTATTATAGACAAATAGATTATTATTTCTCTGTTTAATGTCTATAAAGATCTTATGTATCTTAATATGTTAAGACAACAATATTGCATCATATTAAGATGAAGTTGTTTATACTAAATTAATAACAGAGTATTTTCAAGAAATTTCTACCCTATTCCCATCATGGAATAAAAATAATAAACATGTATAATAATTAATTTTTGATGAAAAAGACTAATTTGAAGTTTCCATGTTTTAATAATTATTCAAAACATATTTAAGTAATATAGAAATTTGTATAGAAGTTTGAAGCAATAATTTTTATTTTGCATATTATGCATATTCAGCTTTGTTTTTCTTTTAAGTGTATATTTTGTTATACTTGCATTTTAAGTACATATTTCACACATTTTATTTAAAATAAATATATTAAAATTAAAATGATTAAATATGAATAATTAAATAATCTACCTTTCTCAATTTTATGTGTGTTATGAAAAACATGATCAGTATTCAGTCGATAAGGAATACGCCACATACGGTCAGTTATTCATTTGATGTCAATTCCTCTCTTAGTACTTTATACTATGTGTTTTCGTTTTACGTTAATATAGTTAGGTACTATAATATTCTAAACTAAGTACAGTTTTTTGTTGTTGTGAAAATTAAACCAAAAACGTCTTATTTAATAACAAATAAAAATATTTTTTTTATTTTTTAATTAAAATGTTACCCCCTCTTTTCTTTAACAATACAATTATTTAAAATTTCATTTTTAATATATTTAGATATAATATACTTATAAATGCCATATTTTTTAATACTAGAGATTTTTTGAACTATTCAAAGAGTGTTGAGTAGTAAATGGTGATAGAAACTTTTATTTTTCAAATGAGAATTACCCTATTTTACTTGATATTTTTCAGCACAATTATTTTAAAATTTTAATCTAAATCAAAATACGAACAAATATTTTTTAAGCAATTAAACATTATTTATACAAAAAAATATATATATTATGTGATATTAACGAAAAATGTTAGATTAAAGATACGATAAAACAAGATGAAATATGGATAGATATATTGTTTAATTTTTAATTAATTTACAAATTTTAAAAGTTATTAGGTAATGTAATAGCTAAGTATATTAATCTATTATAGCATTTTATAGTTTGTAATATTTATTTGAATAATACTAATAAAAATATGACTAATGACTAAATAAATATTAAATACTGCAAAATAATTAAAAATAAATCAGGGCGATTTTCATTTGAAAAAAATGAAGTTTGTATCACTACAAAACACTCCTTAAGTGATATAAAAATCTCAAGTAGGTATTTGAAAATATTATCTTTAAATAAGCATATTTAAAAAAAAGATTTGAAATAAATATAAGTGTAAATAAATGAATAACTGCAATATTAAATGAAATAAAAGGAGCATGTTTAGTAAAAATGTAAACCAACCAACATATAGGTACACGTACACCGTACACCTATGTTAATTATAGTTAAATTATTTACTAAAAATGGGATTTGATAATTAGATTAGATCAAATTATATTGTAATAAAATGTATTTTTGCACTTTTATTCCACAACTGAGGAACAAGTATCAAGTATGTAGTCAATACACTCATCAAATTTGTATAAAAGAAATAGATATTCGTCAATCAATTTAATAATATACTAAAGTAACTTTGAATAATGTAAATAATAGGTATAGCTAAATATATTAACAAGTAACAACTTTGTTGTCAATGCTATTATTAGCCACTGCCACAAATATGTAAAATAATAATAACAACATAATATATCTAAGTGTGTAGACTGTAGAAGAAATAGTTTTTTACTTACTGCTAAAAAATAAGCAATTGCATAAAAATGTTATAATAATATTTAAAGCTATAATTTTTAAAAAGAAAAAAACTGTATACAAGTCTGATTTATTTAATTTGGCTGTGTCAGTTTATTTTCACCTGAAATTCTAATCCATGTTTTTCTCTGCAAAAATCTTTAAGTTTTGGATAACATTGCGCCATTAATGTATTTCTCTCCATCGTAGTATCTGAAAGTATTTTTTTTACAAATATTAAATTAATATATTATTTTACCGTATAGTTTTTAAATAACTCTCGTCATCTCAATTATCACGTGCCTGTAAATGTAGAGCTGGTAAAAATTCTAACAATTTTTGAACTAACTGGAGGCAAGTTCTCGAGGGATCCTGCGAAAATTAAATCTACTGTTCGGTCGTCCATGTTGTATTACTATGAAGCTATAATAATTTTTCTTTAACTGTGTAGTTTAAAATCTTTCATCTATGAAATGTGGTGGTTGCATTGTGTTGGAATGAAGAATCATGACTGCGTGTTACTATCCCATACGTTTTTAACTTTTCGAGAAAACACTTTTTTATAACAGTTAAACCTAATAATAATATGTATGCGTGTAGGTATGTGTTTAATGCGAAACTATAATATAGCAACCCTTTGCCTCGTTATTGTTTATTTATACAGAGCGATTCAACTGTTAAATGTCGTTCGTTATATTATATTGATTTTTAATTGCATGTTCTGCTAAGAACACGAAGTTCTAAGACGCTGAATGGGAGGGGAAGTGTACGGGTAGGTAATTGCATTATTTGTGCATTATTATTTATTTTCTACACAATATACATGATATATACATTTTAATAGTTCGTACTTAGTTTCAAAATGATACGGTTCGATACGATTTTGAGTAAAAGCGCACTTTGACAAAGTAGAGATACGATATGGTGCCTGGCAACCAGTCTATATCTATATAAGCTCAACTAATAACTATGAATGAACAAAACATAATATTACATGCTGATATCAGTAGATTATAGAATGTGTAGGTATTGTAAGTATATCGTATATACTTACTTAATAATATGTACAAAAATATTATTATTCATTTACTCATAGTATTTGCTAATAGTGATTACTGAACATGGTGTTACTCAAAATTACCAAAAAAGTAACAATGTGTTATAAATAACAAGAAAATCGTCGATCGTTACAGATCGTCATTAGTGGGTAGACAAAAAAAAAATGTATCGATACAGGTACTTGCCGGCTGCCATAGTGTCACATAGGCAGCAGCTGTAGATACTAGATACACATTAATATGTTTAGAGTTTCTGGTTTCAGACACTTCAAACTCTTAAAGCCTCGAGCACATGTAAATATGCCACATGTCCACATTACCAGCTATATAGCTGTCATATGATCCAAATTCACGTGTAAGCTATAGCAGCTGCTATTGCTGATGCCGAGGCCTTGGAGAACGTTATCAATTATCTTCGCTGTTATCGCCTTATCGGCTACAAATTATTATTATGTATATAACTATATAAGAAATTAGAAAACTATGTCTGTAGATCATAGCTTTTTTTTTTTATTGTTAATTATTTGTTATATATTTATTATAACATTAATTGTTGAAAAGTCTGTTTAGTTTAAAAACTGTGAATGAAGTTGTGTTTATATTTAAGATCTCTATATTTATATTATCTATGATATAATTATCAAGATGACCTATCTCATCTCGATATTGTATTATTTTCAAATTGTTAAAATGTTAGGTATTTAAGTTTGCGATAGATATATGTAAAAATGTTTTAATTTTCGGATATTTTTAAGTATATAGGTATTTAGTATTTATAGTTTAAGTAAAGCAATGATTTTAGAAGATAACCAAAATGTCATCAAACCAAGGGTAAGATTTAAATGTACAGATTATATTATTTACATTTATTATTAATATATAATTATTACTAAGGCTAGGATAGAATAGGATTTTAAATTTTTTTTAGGATTTACAGGATATAGCTTTTTAAGCATAAAATGTGATTTGTTCATCTTCAAGTTCAAATATATAGTTTTTATTTTGCAATTTTTGTCCTTTTTTTAATTTAAGGTCATTTTTTAGCATTTTTTCAATTTTACGGGTATTTATTATACTTTATTGAAATCTGGGTAATATTTTTATAAATTTTTAAATAGATTTTTTAATGGTCACTATAAATTATTATACAAATATATAAAAATATAACATTAAAATAAAATTGTAAACATATTTTCTAAAAATATTTAATATTTCAAAATACCAATCATTTGTATTATATAAAATATACTCATTCGACTAACTGAGCAATAACCGATAATAATGTTTGATTACGTGTTATCTTCATCAATTTATTATTAAATTTAAATTTTAGTTTTACAATATTATTTTTTTTCAAAATATATTAATTTCAAAACAAATGACACTGACCATTTTATCAGAAGATGAATTTATTTGTATACTTAAAAATATAAATTATTATTTATTAATTTATCTATATAATTATTTTTTTTTGAGCATTTTATGAGGTCATTTTTTTGAATATTTTTTAGGTTATTAAAATTCTAGTCCTAATTATTACACTATAAGTAATATGAATAATTTATCAATATTATTTAAAAAACAATCTTTTGCAATTACCTATAATTTATTATAATTAATAAAAATTGTCTTACTAATAACTAGAGCGCGCATTTTTATGCAATTGCATATTTTTTTCCCTTTTAATTTTTTAGATTTTTGTCAGTTATCTACACGAATCATAACAATTTGAATTTAATAGTGATTTTTTTTTTTTGCATATATCTACATATTTAATGGTTATTGCATATTTTTACAAAATTTGAAATATATTCCATATTGAAACGAAAATTTTTTAAATACTTAGTTTATTTAAGTAATTAATTATTATAAGTTGTTTAATTTGTAAATTTTATATAAATAAAAAAAAATTTCTTGCACATTTATTGCATATTATATGACATATTTCAATACCTTTTAGTGCATAAAAATCTGTGCTCTACTAATAACCTATATTAATCACCAGTTCATTATAATTGAATTTTAAATACTTCTTGGTTTTTTTCTGACATTTTAATTATTTTGGGACCAATGTGTGGATTCTGAATTATCCTTTATATTTTTATGTACAAAATGTATTATTGAATAATAATTTTTGAGTACTTATACCGCAGCTTGTAGAAATTGTATTATTTAGTCTTAAAACCTTAAATAAAAGAAATATAAATTATATTTTGCTAATAAAAAACTTTTTATAGAAAACATTATTGAGAACAAGACATTTTTGTAATTTCTGATCAAATTATAATTAATTTAAAGTTGAACATTTATTTATTTAAGTTATTTGATTTGTAATATATATAATTTTATTTTATCCTTAGAATAGTCGAGCTGCTCGGCCTAAAGTTGTTTACCAATGGACTGTACAAGATGTTCAAAAATGGTTTCGCCGACATTGTTATGATTATTATGTTTTATACGGAGAAAAATTTTTGCAGGTAAATAAACGTTATTTAATTAAAAACATCTTTGTTTAAAATCTAATCTAGAACTTATTTTCCTATCAAAATCTAAATTTTAGTATTTATTAGAATTTTATTTTAGTTATATTAATATTAAGAATAGATCATATTTTAAAATTATATTATTTTTAATTTTTCAACTTTAAAATTAAAAAAAACTGATAAATTTAACATCAAAACTAATAATAGATATTTTATTAAAATTTAAAAACAAATAACTAAACATATTAATGATTAAACATACTATAAAACTGAATACCTAAAAATAAAAAAATATAGCATTCAAGTAATATTAAACAGAATACTACAATTTAGATTTAAATAAAATTATACTTATAAATATCTATAATTATTTTTAATATCATTATTTATTTTTAGCATGAAATAATTGGACGTGCTTTAATAAGAATTAATGAAAATCAACTATATCGTATGGGTATTATAAATCCAGATCATAGTCAAGAAATTTGTCGTGAAATACTTAAACTACGTCTTAAAACTTATATTTTAGAATTTAGAGATTTGGAACGCAACAATCTTTATGATTAAAATCTCAAGAGGTAATTATTCTAAATCTAATAACTGCATCATATTTAGTAAATCTTCAGTTTGTCTTGAAACTGAATCATCCATTCCAGCTCTTAAATTTTGTAAAGACAAATTGTTAGTAATTTGACTGAATTCTAAAATATTGCTTTCTGATAATTTTTCTTCTATTTTGCTGAAATAAATTATTTTTTTTATTATAATATTTGTATATTTTGTGTCATAGAATAGATGAAATATTTGTTGACATTCTGACTGTCTAAACAAAAAAAGTAGTATTTCGATTTTTTTCAATTGAGTTATTACTGCTATTTGATAGTGGAGCTTTTGCTGTACTGTTCATGAAAAAGATCAATCCAATGAGATTAGAATTTTTAATTCTACCAGTGACCAAATTTTTAAAAATTTATGTTCAAAAATAGAATTATAATATAAATTTCAATATTTATTTTATTCATACTGAAAAGTTAGAAAAATCGAGTTACTACCTTATTGATTTATTTATTTCATGTATTCTATAGTTATACAATGATTCCCAATAGATTAATAAATAAGTATCCAACTTGAGAAGTATGTATGACTTTAAATCATACAGCTTTAAAAATATTATCTTCTGTAATATCATTTAAAATAATTTAAATTTAAGTACAAATTGTTGAGTAAATATTATACTTTCATTACTTTTCATTCATATTTAATGGAGTTTCTAATATCTCTAGGTCTAAATTATCAATTTCCTTATTGTCATTGTCATTTCCCATCAATTGTGTAACAAAAAGATCCATTTCTTGTTTATATCCATCACGACTAGTCCGACCATAAAATAATGGATCTGATGTTTCTTCTAATGATTGATTGATATTTTTATTAATATTATATCTAAAAATAAAAAAAGAATATTTATTTTATTACATTATTGTATTAATCTTTTTTTTTAATTTTCAGTTTTACATTGAAAGTCCAAGAGTTGTAATACGAGGACTATTAGGCTTAATTGAACCTATTTCAGTCTCCACTTTATAAAATGATATTGGATGAAATGTACTGATGTCGATAAGCGTACTATTTTTATTGAATACTCTTATAACACCTGGAGCTTCACATCCTGCAATATATTATAAATATAAAAACTTAAATATATTTGATAAGAATTATTACCTACTTTAAACTATTTTATTATAAAATTACTATTTTTAATATATAAGAATACAAATAATTTATTTTTTACAAATTATTATAACTTACATTTAACTATTTCAGCATAATTGTTGTTTATTTGTATACAAAATTGGATTTGTTATTATATTTGTGTGTTATTACTGTTATTATTGTAAAATGACTTACTTCTCTAAATATTTCGACCATTTTAATTAAACATAAGCATAAACTTTGTTTTATATTACTTATGTACTTCAGGGTTTAAACTTTTTTGGAACAAATTAAGATGGATAGCTTTACAACTTATTTATTAAAATATTTTTGGTTAATTTTGTACTGAATTTACTATAATTAAAGTATTAGAAAAAAAAGTTTATAAATAGATAAAACAGTTAATTTATGTATTTTTAAATGTTCTATTATTAATATATAAAAATTTTATTTTAGAGTATATTAAAGTACATAAAAAAAATATTTATATACATGGTTGTATGGATTTAATTAAAAAAAAAAATTTGTCCTTAACAAATAAAAATTGTCTATGGACAAAATATTTATAAAATATGTTTTAAACTAATCATAATGATTTTTTGATATATATATTATTTATTAATGCTATGATTATAAATATCATTATCAAGTAATATTTAATGGAGCACAATATACACTTTTTAAAATATTCTATTCATATTATGAAAGGTAAATTATTGAATCTAAATCTAAAATTTGTGCTCTAAATAATAAATTTACTTAACCATATGGAATCACCCATTTTCCTACTGAAACAAATGACCCATTATATCGCTGCAAACCTTCTTTAATGAATATGGTAACTTTAACATGTATATCTTGCAAATAGTTCAACATTGCATATCGCATTCTCATTATTTCTCCATTTGTCATTTTCTCAAAAGTCTTAAATCATAAAAAAACTATACTTACTCATTCAAATTTCATGCTTTAATGAAAGAAAATTAACAAATAATTACTTGATAAAAATTGTGTTGAATGACATCTACATTTTGTTTCAATTGATGAGTGCCTGCCAATTCGCGGATAGAATCTAAATGATTTAACGTTACTAGTAATACTTGCCTCGGACCATTACTTGAGAACATTTGCATTTTAACAGAGGTTTCTATCAAACCCATTAATTTTTCCATACTAGAACCATTTAGTCTCATAATTGAAGAATGAACTGCACAACATATACTTTTATCTAAAATATCTTTGTTAATGATAGATGTTGGTACAAACAAAAATGGACAATTAAGCGATGCAGCAATTATGTCATTAAGAACTGCAATATAAATCAAATAAATGATTATACTTTTATGTTTGTCTAAATCTGACATATGTATGTAAATTATTTAATTTTTTAATGAAAATATCTATTATTTTTATTGATGTTTGTAATAATAAAAGGTATTATGATAGGTACCTAATTTAGATTTGTCTATTTGGATCTTTTGCGATTTTAATCTTTCTGCCACTACGTAAATCATTTCACAAACTAAATTTAAATATAAAATCGAGTACGTCTGTAAAGCCATGTTTAAAAATATAATTTAAAGTATTATACGTTTAATGTTAATTGCATTTAGGAAGCTACATTTAATTTGTTATTGCTCAGAGGTACCATGGAAACCAAACATTATAAAAGGTAATAGTTATCTACTACCTGCTTAACGCTAATAAACAATTGTTATTGTTATTTTATTAGTTTATACTTTATAATTATAAAATAACATTTATCCTATAGAATTGATAAAAAGTGATGACTTTATAACTATTACAGTGTGAACAAATTAACTATTAAGTAAACTATATTTAAGATGTAAACGTGTAACCTTGACCCTATAATATACGGTCAACAATATTTAGTAAATAAATATTTTTCCATATATTAAACCATATCAACATTTAAATTATTTAAAATAGTAACGAATTTAAACATCCGGTTAACATGTTACGTTAGAGGTATTAAAGCCGGCAATTTAGCTAATAATTTAAGGACCATAATTCACACCTACAGTAAAAAATCGTTGCAATATTATTATTTCATCTGCTTAAAACTTAAATACTTATATAATATAAATTAATATATTTTGTACAAATAGTAGCTAACGATGTATTACGGAAGCATTAAGCAATATACATTTTTCTTTATAGTAGGTACATTGAATCGTTTATGACATTCAGTCGAATAATGAATTAAGGTACATGACGTATAATTGTATATTATCTCAATCTGTAATAAAATATAGTTCATTTAAGCGTGCAATACAAGTCTCTTTACGATGCGATCAGAGATCATAATTCGAATATTTTATCATCGCCCATCACTGTCGTAGCATCTGTGTACAACTAAGAAAATATTTTTGATAATAGTATGGTCTATTTCATGGTACACTAGCCGTCTCAACACGATCCGGTTCGGTGTGCAGTCTACAATAACCGAAAATCGTAATAACTATTATATTGTTATATACCACCCGTACTCTACCTATAACTGTAGCGTCACCTTCAGCCGGATAATATAAATACAAATTACGAATAGACAAAAATCCGAGAATGTGCGAAGCGACATGATATGATAATAATGTTTCTGAGCCATTTCCAGATTATTTGCAGAATGTCGACGAAAAATCGAGAACTCTGACGAAATAGTATCATAAAGGTCTCCCGTAAGTTTGAGGTCCTGTGAACAGTGTGAACGAAATGCGGACGTTGCCGAAGCGTTCGTATTTTACCGCGACAACCGTTTTATTATCGTCAGCCATTTTGCAACAGTTGTTAGTGTAACACCTGATGCGGCGTTGCCGGACAGTCACTGATAAGAGACGCGTCGTATTCAATCGGGGAAATCGGCTGACAGCGCTGCGTCGGAATACTAAGCATAGCCGGAACGGAACGGCCGTTGTTCGGTCCGGCAACGTGGCCACCGCTAGATTTCTCTCATATGTCCCCACCACCCGCCAACCATTCCCCGCTGGGGTTCACCTCAACAAGCGGCCCGTCTCCCGCACTAACGCTGATCGGTAGCGTAACGTTTGTTTACACTTTGCGTTGCATTGCATTTCGGTCTGTCCGCGTATCGTTACTCGCATGAAAGATTGTTCTCTCCCCGTCGTTCCGTTCGTTTCCGTCGCGTTTCATCTTAAACCGTCCGTTGGATCGTCAGTACTGTGTATAGAGTCTAAACGTTTTATTTTTCGTGCCGACCGCCGCAGCCGTGTCTAGCGATAATGCTATGTTAACGTCCGCTCGTTGGTTCGATCCGATGCACGTCGTGATGTTAGTTAACCGGACAAATGTGACGAGAAATGAAACGGCATTCGGATGAACACATGGCGTCCGCGGACACTGTCGGCGCATACGCCACCGCTGCCGCGACCCGTTCACCGCCTAGATCCAGGCCCAACCTGGTAACCATTTCTAATGTCGTCCAGTCGAATTTCGTTTCGCAGGCCATAAACAATCCAAACATACAGTTCAATACTGTGCAGCCGTTCAGCGCGCCCACAATGCCGGTTCTAGCCATTAATGAAAAGGTTCCCGGTTCGCTACCTGGTGGCTCTGCCATGCCGGCCCTCCACACAATACAGGCGCAACACACTATTCAGCAGATAAGGCAAAAAGTCGTGCCGCCTACGACCATAATTCAACAGCAGCAGCAACAGCAACAGCAGCAGCAGCAGCAGCAACAACAACAGCAACAGCAGACTCAGTTTCAGAGGCTCAAGGTCGAAGATGCCCTGTCCTATTTGGATCAGGTGAAATATAAATTTAGTAATCAACCCCAAGTGTACAATGACTTCTTGGACATAATGAAAGAGTTCAAATCGCAGAGCATAGACACCCCCGGAGTGATAACACGGGTCTCAAACCTATTCAAAGGTCATCCTGAGCTCATAGTGGGTTTCAATACGTTCCTACCTCCGGGTTATAAAATAGAAATAAAAAATAATGAACTTGGCTTTCATGTTTCTGTGTCGATACCTCAAAGTCCGGCAATCACGTCTTCCCAGACAATAATACATTCGACAACTCAACATATAATGTCAAGTACTCCAATAGTTACTACTCCACCTGTCAGTTTGACCACTACACCACCCGTAGTAATTAAACCAGCTGGACATTTACCTACCATAAACCAGGTCAATACTACTTCGGTTGTAATAAATCATACTACGCACAATAGTGTAACACCAACTGCGCCTTCTAGCAGTGTTCATCCAACACAAATACCTTTGTCTGTAGCTAGTTTAAGCCAAGTGGCATCTAATATACCTCAAGTGTCGATACCTACAACTCAGGAATCAACCAACTCTCAAAATCAACCAGTTGAGTTTAATCATGCCATAAATTATGTGAATAAAATAAAAAATCGTTTTCAAGGGCAACCAGAAAAATATAAAAGATTTTTAGAAATATTACATACTTATCAAAAAGAGCAAAAAACTCATAAAGATAATGTGCCAGTGGCAGAAAAAACATTAACTGAAGCCGAAGTATATCAGCAAGTTGCCAAATTATTTGAAAACCAAGATGATTTACTATTGGAATTTGGACAGTTTCTACCTGATGCTAAAACTCCTGATGCCAAACAGGCAGCAGAAACAAGCATTGTCCCTCCCAAGAAGACTACCACCATTGTGACTACTGCACCTCCTGCAATTCCTTTGCCACCACCACCTCCCATCAAAAAAGAACATCCAGCTGCTATTCCAGTGACTAAGGAAGTTGTAAAAGAGTCGAGTGTTCCAAATGTAGCTCTCAAAAGAACTTCGTCATTTTCTTCCAGCCAGAATTTACCACCACCTAAAAAACCAAAATCTCCATTTCCAAGCTTGGGAGATGTATCATATCAAGAAGCATATAAATATGGTACATTGACAGATTTTGCATTTTTTGATCTCGTTAGAAAATCAATTCATAATGCTTCTGCATATGATGATTTCTTGAGGTGCTTAGTTTTATATTATACTGAGATTATATCTAAATCTGAACTGCTTAATTTAGTACAGCCTTTTCTTGGAAAATACTCAGAATTATTTAGAAGATTCAAAGATTTTATTGGGACCAGTGAAAAAAGTAATAATGCTGCTGCAGTTCCAACAGAAAACAAACTTTGTGGCTTGCCACATTTTTCATTACTTGATCCTGGATCTAATCGCCAAGATAGATCTGCTGGTGATCTACCCACTGATATCGATTATAGCATCTGCAAAAGGTTAGGTGCAAGTTATTGTGCTGTACCCTCAGATTATTCAACTCCTAAATGTAGCGGTAGAACGAAAATGTGTTATGAAGTATTGAATGACACATGGGTTTCTTTTCCTACATGGTCTGAAGAATCATCATTTGCCACTAGTCGAAAAACTCAATATGAAGAATATATGCATAGGTGCGAAGATGAAAGATTTGAACTTGATCTCGTAATGGAAATTAATTTGGCAGCAATATATTGTCTAGAAGAACTATCAAAAAGATTTAGTAGAATGACACCTGAAGAACTATCAAAGTTTAAATTGGAAGACTGTAGTTTTGGTAGTGATACAACTTCAATGACAACTAATAGACGAGCTATTAAAAGATTATATGGTGATAAGACATCAGATATACTTGAAGGACTTCAAAAAAATCCATTATCTGCTGTTCCAATAGTTTTAAAAAGGCTAAAATCCAAAAATGAAGAATGGAAATTAGCACGAAATACTTTTAACGAAATATGGAAAAGTCAAAATGAAAAATACTATCTTAAGTCATTAGACCATCAAGGTGTAAATTTTAAACAAAGTGACATGAAATTTCTTAGATCAAAATCGTTATTAAATGAAATTGAAGCTTTATATGATGAACGTAATGAACAGAGTGACACCAACACTGGACCTCATATGGTGTTTTCATATGTTGATAAATCAATTATAGATGATGCTGCTAATTTGTTGATTCATCATGTCAAGAGACAAGCAAGCATTAATAAAGAAGATAAACAAAAAATAAAATCACTTATTAGAAGGTTTATTCCTGATATGTTTCATCATCCAAGGCAAGAATTAAGTGATGATGAACGTGATGGTCAGAATGATTGTTCCAATAATAATTCACCTGAGACAACTAAAGCCTCTTTACGGATCTCTGAAGAAAAAGATTTACCTGAGCTTAAAATAACTGACAATGATAAATTAAAAACATCCGATCATTCTAGTACGGAAGAATGTTATACTTTATTTTTTGGCAATAATAATTGGTATTTGTTCCTTAGACTACATCATATACTATGTGATCGACTTACTCAAATTTATAAAAAAGCTTCACAATTACTTCATGAAGAATGTATTTATCAGGTGACTAGGTCAGAGACTGCAGCTGCAAAGCTTAATCTGAATCCCAATTCATCAATTTTGTTAGAAGACTATTATCCTGCTCTACTTGATATGATTAAAAATGTTCTAGACGGCAATATGGATTCAAATACGTATGAAGACACGTTAAGAGAAATGTTTGGTATCCACGCATATGTAGGATTTACACTTGATAAGGTTGTTGTTTATGCTGTTCGTCAGTTGCAGCATTTAGTATCTGATGAATACTGTCAAGAATGTTATAATTTATTTATAAAAGAAAGTAAAAAGAACGGAACAGGTGGTCTTTGTAGTACAGCATGTCAAAGAGTTGCACAAGAAGCAGCATATCAACGTAAAGCAGAAGCTGCCTTAAGTAATGATAATAATTGCTATAAAATATATATATACAAATCTAACTGCAAACTAACGTTTGAGTTGCTGGATACTGATACAGATGATAATCAGGACAGTGGTAAATGGACAAGTTTTGATAATGAACCACTATCTGAAACTAATGATGACAAACAAGATGAAAACCAAAGTCCTAAAGATTAAATATTCAGTTTACTAAAATGATCTAACCTTAAATAATCAAGTATTCTATACCTTAATTATTATTTATTATTATTAATTTTTTACATAAATTGTGTTTCTACTACAATATGTAGCCTAATTTTTTCTTGTTCTGCATTGATTCCAAAGTCTCGTCTGATTTATTACTTTAAAAGGTAATGATATTTATAAAGTTATAAGTGAAACTATGTTACTAATATTTTTAATTATGTTTCAGTTTTGCCTTACATTTGTATATAATTATTCATTGAAATTTGATGAGAATCAAATAAGCAGTTGCCACTTATTTTTTTTTTCATAAAAGTAAGTTTATATTTGTTTTATACTTGTAATTTTTAATTTATTTTTATCAAGCTAAATTTTTGAACTCTACTACATTTTTGTAATAAAATCAAACCAATATATTAAATTAATAGTAATTTTTTTTATTTTCCAGAAAAATATTAAATCAATTTTCATGAAGATTTGTTGGTTGAATATTCAAGGAATAAATAAGGTAATTTAATAAATATTTCTATTATGGTACAGAGATTGTTAATTCCCTAGTCCATCATATTAATAGTAGTAATTGTTAATAATTATCTCAAATTACCTAAAATTACCGTAATTCTTATTATGTATATTGTATTTTCATTGAAACTTAATCTAAGTCTTATAGAATAGTTCATCATGGTGCTAAGTTTGTAGATGTAAAAATTATATTATCCTCAAAGTTTAGGAAAACCAATTAATAATTATAAAGAAAAAATATTATTGTTAGCATTAACCAATGTGAAAAGTCATGTGTATGAGTATAGCTGTTTACATTTTGTCAACAATATTTGACATTAGTTAATGTTAGCTTAAAAAGAACTTGATATCAACAATTACATTTGACGTGTCAATTGCAACATGTTAAATATAATTTGGTAATTCTCATTTTTTAATTATTCAAATAGTAACTCATTTTAATACTATTATTTACCAAATTATAAAGAAAAGAAAATATTTCAGCTTACATTAAGTCTTCTTTGTATTTTATATCATAAAACATTAGTTATTGAATTATATTTAAAAATAATTTCATTTTATTTGAACCCATATAATATAAAACTAATTAATTAATTTTTTTTTTCAGCAATCCAATTACCATCTATTCTTGCAACAGTGGACAGTCGTTTTATATTCTATATTGTAAACACTGAAAAGCATTAAGTTGTACATTTTTTCTATTGTTTAAAAAAAATTAATATTATGTATAGAAATGCTCTGTGTTTATGTATATTTTTTTTATTTTACTTTTCTGTAGAAAATAGATAAATATTTTAATCAGTTACCAATGGATGTTTTTTAGAACACCAGTAGGAACAATTGTGAAAATTGTGAAATTAAATTTCACTATTAGAACAAATAACCAATTTTATTAAAAATCTATACTTTTAACTGTGAATGTAGGAACTTAGTATAAAATAAATTATAGTTTTAAATTTAATATCATGCAGCAATAGCAAATCATGTTCAAATGTGGGTTCTTCCATTGTGCATAGGTTTTTTTTAAATCTGTAAACAAAAAATGTGTAATTATTTTGTTACAATTTTTTGTAGTTATAGCCTATAATGGTGTAAATAATTTATATATTTTTCATTATAAATAATTTCTTAACGTGTAGAAATGATTGAATTGATAATTGTATTATACATGCCATAGAAATGTTAATATTTATTTAATAAATAGGAAAATATTTTTTAGAGAGTAGTATTTTTAATGAATTTTAAAATAGGCATGAAAATTTAAAACTTATCTATGAATAAAAATGTCAATAAAATTGCCATTTACTGAATTGATATCCTTGGTTGCTTGTAAATTGTAATATGTTTATTACAGTTTTTTTTTAATTGAATTGTTTGCATTATATTTTTTTTATTTTTAGTTTGTTTATATATAAATATATATATATATATTAATTTATTTGGAAAGAATTAATTAAAGTTTTATTTTATACTTTTTGAATTTACTTTTATACTTTACCATAATTCTTGTAAACAATCAAACATCTTGTGAATATTATAAGATATTAATTTGACGAAAATGTATTTTAGTGAGTTTTGTACACAATTTACAATGTAGTTATTGTTAACTTTTTTTAATATGAACCACTTTTTTGATTAATTCCTACTTAACCCATAATAAACACCATTAGGTACTTAATAAAGGCTGAAAATGGGTTAATAAAGACTGGTTTTAAATTATTAGACTTATTTTAAACATGAATAACAAATGAACAATTTTTAAATGATTAATCAAGTAAACGTATTTCTATAGTATTTTTATTATTATTAGCATTTAGCAATAAGCAAATACATATATTCTTTATACTATTTCATAATTATACAACTCATATTTTAATTATTCTTTTTTTTCTAAAGCAATCAAGTATCAAACAACAAACAATTTAAAAATAGATACTCATAAAAAATGGTAATGTGGTAATTCATAAATTATTATGTGTCAATTTAAATTTAAAAAATATTCATTGCCTTACCGTGGATGTTAATATTAAAACATAATTTAAGATTTAGAGATTACAATATTTTGTATCATTTTAAATAAAACTCCACAGGCCACAATATATCCTTAAATTTTTCGATAAGTCTAAGAGAAATGATAACTTTTAATTACATTTATTTAAATAAAAAATTAACTTTTTATTCAAAGTATTTTATGAATAACTAAAGTGAATTTTATATTTTTATATAAAACATAAGCAAATACGATTTGAAAAGAATTGATTTATTTATAATGATAGAATTACCTTTAAAAACAGGTATCTTTGTTGTACTTGTAAATCATGTTATCATTTTAAAGTTGTGAAACTATGTGTAAATAATCAATAAGTAGCATTGTAACTGTAAAAATTAATATGTATTTATCACTTATCAAAAATTAGAATTTTAACTGTACAGATGTATTTATTACTTATCAATAATTTAAAATATATTTTATATTATTATGTTCATACAAATTACAATCATTTACTATGTAGTGTTATACTATTATGTACGAGATGATTAAAATTTGTTGTTAATTGTTAGATGTTGTATTTGTGAATTTTAATTTTGACCAGCGTTTTCTTTCTATAAACAATGTGTCTGTAAACATAGAACATATTATTTACATTTTTTCTTTAAAAAAAAAAAGAATTATGCAACTGATTTAAAACACGAAACTGCAAAATAACTAACAAATATTAATAGCAATAAACATTATAAAATTGCAAATGATAAAAATTATCAACTATTTTATGAAGGATTTAGAATTCTGAATTCTGGTACTCAGATGAGTCCTATGCGATAACCGAACAGTGGACAAAAGACTCTAAAGAGTAATCAGTAATCACCATAAATATTGTCATTTCTCAGCATACGGCGAACAATCATTAATTTATTTACTAGCGAACACCATTAATCATTATCTTCTAATCTCTTCTATAGTCATAACTTATTAAAATATGGTAATGGATTGTTATTTCAAGACGTTCAAAGCGTTATTTAAATTTTAATTGTTATTTGTTATTTGTGTGCTGCAATCGTGTAATCAATAGACAATAGACATTAATATAAAACTGTTTAGGAATTCCGAATTCGAATTTAGTCATGTTATAAACTGATTACAAAAAAGATCACGTGCGTTTTAAAAGATAAAAACTATAACTTTATACCGAAAACTATTGTACCGGTTACCACACTGTACGTTTTGTAGGTTAAGATGCCATGTAAGTTTAATTTTTTTCTCCCATGAATACTAAAGCCTCCCCGTCCCCCATCACATCTATCGTCGTTTAATTTTCATGTCTTTTGATCTTTTCACTCTCTGATCGTGATACTCGACCACGTTATTTAGCGAGTATTAATTTATTTGCAGTATTTGTATTTCTAGCTAACATTTTCATTTAAAATGGCTCCTGCTGCAAAACAGGTAACATGTTTATTAAATTTTATTTATATTCTTTAAATTGTAAATTTAATTTGTGATACTAGTCCTGAAGTACTTATATATCATAAATGTCTTGTACTCGTGTTTAAAACTCGTGTATTATTTTTCTACTTTTTTAGATAACTTTAACTTGATGTAACAGTTGCTGAATGTAAATGATTCAAACTTATTTTGGTTATTTACTTTAAGTGATTAGTTTATTACAAAATAATTATAATGGTGTATTTTTAGGCTAAAGCCGCTGGTGGTGAAAAAAAGCCTGCGGCTAAAAAGCCGCAGGCTCAGCAACCTGCCAAGGCTAAACAAGAAGCACCTAAGCCAAAAGCTGAACCTAAAGCTCAGCCTAAAAAAGCTGAACCAGTAGCTGAACCCAAACAAGCTAAAAAGGACACCAAACAAGTTCCCAAGGCTCAACCTGCCCAAGACAAGAAACCTGCAAAGGAACAACCTAAGAAGGAAACAGTAAGTATTTTTATTGTTTACAATACTAGGTATTAATTTTAAACTTAAAAACAAAAATAATTTTTTGTAAGGCACCTGCTCCAAAGAAGGTTGCACCAAAAGGAACTCAAGATAGTAAGAAACCTGCTCCACAACAACCATCAAAGGCTAATTCTAAAGCTGAACCAGCTAAGGATAAACCTAAGGCTGCCAAAGCTGATCCTAAAGCTAAAAAAGCGGAACCAGTGAAAGCTAAAGAGCCCGAGGTAAAGCAAACTAAGAAAACTCAACAACAAGCAGCACCACCTGCTAAGGGTAAGAAAGAAGAACCCAAAAAGGTCAAAGAAGAACCCAAGAGCAAAGCCACTAAACGTCCAGCTGAAGAAGTTCCTAAGGCCGTTAAAAAAGATAAAAAGGAACCAGTTAAAGTTGAAAAGAAATCTGAACCAGCTAAAGCTATTAAAAAAGAACCTGAATCTACCAAGAAAACGGTTGAGAAAAAACCTACTACCGATAAAAAACCAGTTGAAAAAAAACCAGCCACTTCTGCTCCTGCTCCAGCCAAAAAACCTTTGACTGCTGCTATGACCGTTAAGAAAACAGTAGCTCCCCCTACATTGAAGAAAGCACCTGGTGCACCAAAAAAAATTGCTCTAACGAAAAAAGCTACCACTGTACAGAAAAAGCCTAAAGCAACTTTAAGAGGAAAAGGAACTGCTTTGAAAAAGAAGAAGGAAACTAGAAAAATGACAATCGACTGCACTCATCCTGTGGAAGATAGTATAATGGATGTCAATAACTTTGTAAGACTTAATTAAATTGATCAATATCCATTGTTTTTAAAATATTTTATATTTTTAGGAAAAGTTCCTTCAAGAAAGGATGAAGTATAATGGAAAAACTAATAACTTTGGTAATGTTATTTCCTTGGAAAAGACAAAAACCAAAATTATTGTCAATTCTGATGTACCTTTCACGAAGAGGTATAAAATAATCATATTATTGGCTTTTAAATATTTTTAAAATTTAGCATTATTTTAATATTGTATTTTAATTTCAGATACTTGAAATATTTGACAAAAAAATATTTAAAGAAAAATAATTTAAGAGATTGGCTGAGAGTTGTTCATAGTGGACCAGACAGCTACGAACTTAGATACTTCCAGGTAAACAATTTTAATTTAAGTTTGATAATATTTATTATTAAAAAATATGTTGAATATACTGATATATCACTGCATTTAGAAAATCTATATTTTGTGGTATAGCTCGTATTGAATAATGTTGGTAACATAGGTAAGATCATTGTAAGAGTTTAAGGTTTAAAGTTAATATGGACACTAATAAAATAAAATCTGCATTTTATAGTTACTTAAAATTATTAAATGTTTAATGTTTATGTCTTACAAACATACATCATACCAAATTTGCTTTCGGTCAAATCCATTTTGTGTTGTTGCTTTTAAAATTTCATTTAATTGACCTATTATCAATTTCTAAGGTTAGAATATTATGTTCTTATCAATTTTTATCCTTATTTTAATTTAAAAATAACTCTTGGACATTATTATTGTATACAATTGTTATTAGTTTTAAAATAAAAACTTAAGAGACAAATTTAATAACAATTGCTGATTATATCTTACCTTTAAATTTTAAAGTATGCCAATTTATTATCATTTTTAAACTAATTTTATAAAATTTGGTTTTAAGAAAGAGTACTGATAAGTTATACTTATGAACGTGTTTCTATTTACAAAATTAATTTTATTTGTATTCATATTAAAACAAATTACTATTCCTTTTTTTATGCATTAATTCATTTAAT